TAACCAAAATTATTTTTGTTACAGGTTAAATGGACATTATTTAGAAAATCGAAATTTACTTAGAGTAAATGACACGATTAGAAGACAGAAATTTTTGAAACAGGGTAGATTACCTGTAGTTTCTTTTATATCAGAAATGCCGCGTACAAGGCATTTACTGAATACTTTTACTATGGACTCTCTTATTACAGTAAGTAGCTATTTATTTCTACATGGTCGTATATTGTTATGTGTCATATATTATATAATAAATTGTTTATAATTTATTATATAAAGAAATAAAGATGAACTCGTATAATTTATTTTTTATTTATTTACAGCGAACAATGATGTCCATTACAATAACGGGTTACTTCCAACAACTCAATATCAAGGAAGAGCCCATCCACTATTTCAACCGCACCTTCAGAATTGTTCCGGAAGGTGAAGGATATTGCATACGAAATGAGCAGTTGCATATTAGTCAACCATCTGAGGTGCAGTTAAATGAATTGCACCAGCAACTGAATCAGTTAAATGCTCAGCAAACTCAATCAGAAATGGAGACTCAATCAGAAATGGAGACTCAATCAGAAATGGAGACTCAATCAGAAATGGAGACTCAATCAGAAATGGAGACTCAATCAGAAATGGAGACTCAATCAGAAATGGAGACTCAATCAGAAATGGAGACGCTGAGTTCCACAGAAGTGGTGATGCCTATCGCTATGGAGTCTGATGAGCCTGATGATATGGAGCTTGATGTTATGGAGTCTGATGATATGGAGCCTGATGTTATGGAGTCTGATGATATGGAGCTTGATGTTATGGAGTCTGATGATATGGAGCTTGATGATAGAGAACCTGTTGATATGGAGTTTGATGATATTGAGCCTGATGATATGGAGATTTGCTGAAGAAGCAAATGGCATTAACGTTGAGTCAACCGACAAATATGAATTTGGAATGGAGCTTGAAATGTTTACGAGAAACGCAGTGGATATACGACAACGCATTTGCTGCCTTCCAAGAGTTTTTCAAACTTGGACAGATACCATCAGAAGCGTTTGCAAAGTAAGGATACGTGAGTAAGAAAACTTGTCACTGTGATAATAACGTGTAAGAAAGGTCCGAATTTCTTGTAAAACGGCGACCTTCATTCCATTTCATATTCCGTATTGTTATATTTGTTTTTTACGGATATACTTATTTATTTTAAAAAAATGTAAATAAAAAACTTTTTTTGGATATTTCTCTGACAACATGCATGTTTAAAAAATGTCATGAAAATATCTCTCATAAAGATATTTTATAATGAATATACATATCTATATGATACATAGATAGGTCTTATAAACAATGTATGTTACTTGAGAAATATCCTGGGATTTATTACTTGCCAATTTCATATCTGTGGCAACAAAAAATTATTATTATTAAGATTATTATTAAGATTATTATAATCATTATAATTATTATATTAAATTATTATTAATTTGCAAAGAAAAAATGCTAAAGAAAAGGAACATATTAAGACGCCTTAATACAACTACTAGAAAAATACTTAAATGCATATATGGTACAGAATCTTTTTCTTATCTTATTTGCATTTAATTTACAAAATTGCGCATAATACATTTACATAAAAGTTGCTAAAAACTATAATTTTAATTAAAATTACAATCTCAGTATCATATTCAGTATCATATGATTACTTAGAAATATTATCATGAAAAAAATACGATCAAAAATAAAAATTATTGGCCGTATTTATCAGGCACAGCACTTGAATGAGCGCTCAGTAATTACTGTGATTGAAGTAGATATTTTAGTCATGTGCTACGTTAACATGACTATATTAAAAGTACTTGCTCAAATGTTGTGTCTGTTAAACGGTCATTTTCTTATTACGATTTTTGATCGTAAATTTTCTCATATAGATTTTTTTACGAATATATTTATTTAGATTTTATACAAGAACCGAATATATAGAAAACATCAGGATATTTCTTAGACAACATGAATATCTATGATACTTGTAAAAACATTATAAAGACTCTCTTAGAACATACATATTTAAATAATATCTAAAAGATGTCATAAAGACTCTTCTAGATAATGTTGTCTAGGAAATTTATTACTCGCCATTTTTCTATTTTTGGCATCGAAAAACAATTAACTTTGCAAAAAAATACTAAAAAAAGGAGCATGTTAAAACGCGTTAATATAATTCTATTAGGAAAGTACAGGAAAGTACTTAAACATATATACATCTTTTTCTTTATATTGAGCTTATGAAATTGCGCGTAATACATTTGCATGAAAGTTGTTGAAAATCATAATTTTCATTAAAATTACAATCTGAATATTATATGATTTGTAAAAAATATCATCCGCAAGTCTGTTATGATCAGAAAGGAAGATCATTCCTGATTGCATTCAGCAAACACAGCATTCAAGTAAGCACTAGTAATTATTGTGTACAATTGGAGAAAACCTTAAGATTCATTTAATACATGAAGAAAAATGTAAACGTAAAAGTACTTGTGTTTAATTGTTGTGTTTGTTGCATTTTTCTATTATAATTTTTGACAAATTTCTCGCATATGTTTTTCATGATTATATTTATTTGGATCTATGTCAGAACCTGACTAGAAAACGTTAAGATATTTCCCAGACAACATGCATGTTTAAAAAATGTCATAAAAACATCATAAATATATCTTTTTTAGAACATACATATTTAAATGATACCTAAAAGGTATTATAAAGAGATCTTCTAGATGCATGTTGTCTGGAATTTATTACTTGCCAATTTTATATCTCACTTTGGCAATGAAAGACAATTTTTGTAAACAATATTGCGTATAATATAGTTTCCTATCCGAAAGTTAAAAATCATAATTTTAATTAAAATTATAATCTCGATAATGATTATTAAGAAATATCATTAATAAATCTGATATGATCAGAAAGGAAGATCATTGACCGCATTCAACGGACATAGCACTTGAGAAAGCGCTCAGTAATTAGTGTCTATAATTGAAGAAGACCCTCAAGATTTATGTAATAAATGAAGATGAATGTATGTGTAAAAGCGCTTGTTCAATTGTTGTGTTTGTTGCATTTCTATTATGATTTTTGGCAAATTTCTCATATATTTGTTTTTCACGGATGTATTTATTTGAATTCTATATCACACAAACCCGGATAGAAAACATATAGATATTTCACAATACGCATGTCTAAAAGACGTTGTAAAAACGTCATAAAGACGTCTATGTTATAATAGACGTGTTTAAATGATACGTAAAGAAATTACATAAACGTCTTTAGGCATTGCGTATTGTCTAGAATTTATTAGTTACTAATTTGTACCTGTCAATGAAAGACAATTTTTAATTTTTCCAAAGAAAGAAGTATTTGATAACAGAACATATCTAGACATAATGTATACATGTGTTTACACATATGTACACAGTATGCATATTATTTAACAGCACTAATGAAAATTATTGTAACACTACTTTAAATGAATTATTTGTAAACCATAATTTTTTTCTGAAAATGTTATTTTGAAAAATCTTATAATATAAAAGAAAATTTTAATTGATGTACAATATACATAACGTTAGAGTCAAAATTTAAGAAAATTTAAAGAAAATTTAGTAGAAAATTTAAAAAAGTATAAAACATAAAAGGTATTTAAAAATTTTAGGCATATGTATGATGTTTGAAATTATTTCATTATATATAATGAGACTGACTAACTGAATATGCCTCAAAATAAAAAAAAAATTTTTATTATTTTAAATAAGCATTTATATACATTTCATTGGTGCTGTTAGTTGATAAATATATAATGTACAAGTTAAAATATAAAAAAATTCGATATATATATAGAAGCAAAACAAATCAAATTCTTGATATAATCATTGAAAAAACAATAGTAATAATTCTATATATAACAAATGTTTTGTTATAAATATCCAGTTCGCAGGTTATAATTTTTTTTAGTAAAAAAAAAATTATATACCTTTTGGTATAAAAAAATTTTATAATTATTTTTTTACACACATTTATAAGCGTTTACAATTTCTAGAGTATGAATTTTTTTCAATTCATAAAAAGGTGTGAACATAAAGGAAAATTTATGTTTGAAACATTAGTGTCTTTACATTGTCGATTTGTTAATTTTTATGGATATTCAATGTGATGTTAGATATATACATATATTATATATATATTTTTTAATTTATTTATTTATATCTATTATCACTGTACAATTAAAAAAAATTTTATGTCTACTAGATTAAGTAATAGAAAAGTATTGTTGTATTTATGTATCTAAAACTATTTATTTTTTTGAAAATAGATTTATATTTTTGTTTTGTTAATTGAATTTATCATGCGCACAGATCAATAATATATTTTTGTATATAAGTTTAAAAGTGTATAGAAGTTTTAAGATCAATAATTTAATTAACAAAATATTTTAATATACCAAATTATGTATAATGATCTTTAAGGAGATAGCTAGTGCAATTTTGTAGAAAATATAACTTAATAGTTCTCGAAATTGTCACTTCGTATATGGCGATACATATATATTACTATTAAATAAGTTTTTATAATTTGTAAATAATATCATAGGATATAAGTTTTGCGTGTTTTTGTAAATTGCTAAGTATATATTAAGTGAAACAGCTAGCAGATCGCTTACATTGTGTGAGTATAAATTATTCGAGTTGGGAATATTTGTGATAAATTCAATTTTTTTATATTTCGCGATATATATTAAATTTGCGTATATGCAAAAAACGCAACTTTTATTTTTTATCTTATTAAGAGGATTCTACACCATGTATATATATATCATGAAAAGTTAGAAACATCGTATACCAGGATGATGTTCTAATAACTTCAGAACAATATCCTGATATTTCTAACTGGGATTTCATGAAGTCCAAGGACACGTTATGTGTCAGAAAGTATTAATGCTGTTGTGTCTCATACATTATCTGGTACAATTGAAGGTGGAGAACTCATAGTGTAACGTTTTTGAAGAGCATGAACTTTGTTACTAGAAACGAAGTCAATAGATCTGAGATGCAGCAGTTCATTAAGCACTACATCATAGCCTACAATTTACGATATATGCACGCAGCTTATATCGTCAAAATGGATGTTCCTGCATTGTTCTTGAGCCAAGAGACATTCTGTGCTTGAGAAGCAAAACTCAATCTTCGGTGTGTGCGGATGTACTGTTGAATATACATTTAAACCGTATCACACGTATTATTGATAACTCGTGTAATAATATAATAATGGGAGATTATATATTACATGTCTCGTAAACCCTTAAATAATGAGAAAAAGATAAAAGGAATAATTTATACTCACGTACTGGTATGCGACAATTTTCATAAAAAAAAAAAGAATATATTATATACTTATGTTTTGATTGGGTAATGATACATGCGAAGTATCCGAAAGATTATGACACATATTCACAAACATAGTATAGAAATTATTGATGTGAATTGGAAAACTAAATATTCCTATTATGTTGATAAATGTGCGAAGAATGTGATTAATAAATACACTACTGCTCAAAAGTATTTGTCCACTGTCTTCTATAGTAGAATTAGAACGAAATTTTGGCGTATAAAAAAGAAGTATATAAAGATTGAGACAAATACAATTCTTTTGAGGGGTAGTGTACGTTTAATGTGTAGAAATGACCCTACACGATTAATAATACTGTCAATATTAACAAATACTGACAATATTATTACTGATCGTGTATAGTTAATATTATTGGATTGACGTAGAATACTGATAGTGTTTGAATTTTGGTATTCGAGTATCAGTATCGTTTGTATTAGGATTTATGTTACAGTGCGTTACAGTACAATAGATAATAATATACGTAAAGTTAAGGTAAAATACATTATCAATAATACTGATCGTGTAAGATTGTAAAAATACTAAAAATATTGATGCGTACTGTTATTATTACTGATTCAATATTACTGGTCAGTATTATTGATAATGTATTTTATATGTATTGATAAGTATACGATCACCTTAATACATGTGCAAATGTACAAAATTGTATATATATAGTTGTACAAATAGAAAAAGTCTACTTGATATAAGTGTTACATAAATAATTATTATTCGTGTTTTGCGAGAGAAAATGAATAAATGTCATAAAATTGTTAATTAATGTTATTGATAAATAATGACGTTGTGAAACTTGCAATGATATACATAATGTAAATATTTCTATTAATATTAAGTAGCACACACACACACACACACACACACACATTGATGTATTAAGAATTGTTTATACACTTGACCATGATATGAATAAAAAAACAATGGTATTTTATAAATCATGTAGTTCTCATTTATATAAATTTTGATCCTCAAATACTGACAAAATTATTAATCATGTGTAGTTAGTAGTAATGAATTGCTATAGAATATTAGCATCGTTAAATATTATAAATCTGAGATGCAGAGCTAACAGATAGTAAGTAGAAAGATAACATGCAAATGAGATGATATGACAGAAAAATGTTTAATTACCAATAAAAATTTTTGAAGTGGCCAGAGCTAGCGAACGTCTCAGATTTACAATGCCGCACGCAGTTTACTGCTGGTGATCTAAATTTCTTGGTTCTGTAGCATCAGTATCTTCTATCACAGTAATATCCCATATCATAATGTACCTCGAGAATGAAGATATCCGAATAATATTTATGTGTACTGACAATATTACTAATTGTTTAAAGTTTACTTAAAATTATAATAAAATATAAATTTTTGGATATATAAAATAATGTACAAAATCACTGATTATAGATATATGATAAAATTGAAAATTATTTGATGCCTAAAAATCGTTTTATTTTTTTTAAATAATCATTTGTATATTTTTATTAGCGCTGTTAATTGATAAGTATATATATATAATATGTAAATTAAATTTTTATTAAAAAACTTATTTAATCTTTAGTTGTACAAAAATATGTTGTTAATCGCAGGATTTATATTCTAAAATAAAACACGAGAAATAAATAACGAATACATATAATAAAAAAATACATATTTTTATTTTAAGCAATAGAATTACATCAGTCTGGGAACATAACTTTAAAAAAAAGACAAAATGTGTCGCGGCGACTCTGCGCTACTACTGTAATTAAAAGTTAATGGTATAAGAACAACTTGGATTCCTGATATATTCAAAAGCCCAGTATGGTGAGTATGTAAGAGAAATCTTTAGGTTCTTCTGGTTTAATAGAATTGCAGAATATATAAAGTAACGCCGGTGCTCTTCATTTAACAACAAGTGTCTTTTCATCTTTGTCATTGAATGTTAAAGAAGATAGAATTATATAAAAACATTTGTATAAACTCATATATCCAAAAGAGCATATCAATTTATGTATATTAAATTATATATACGAAACATCTCCTTTACTCAGATGTATCTTTTTTTGCATCTCCCATTATCTATAAATAAAGAATTTTTAAAAGATAATTCTTAGGATGATTAATCTATCGATTTTATTGTATTTATTTTGTACCTTATTAGGTTTTAAAGTAAATAGTTCTTCCTTCGTTCTCCTCTTGAAAAAATGTAGCTGTGATTAACAAACAATAATAAACGAATAAAATATATACATATCTATATATTAGGATAATACTAATATAATTTACCTTGTTCAATATAATAACAACGATACATAATAATATTAGACCTAATGAAACTGACACAAGCACAACCCATAGTTGCAATTTCTGTGTCTTTACCGTACTATGAAATTCTGTCGTGACATTCGTATTGTGTCTGTAATATAAATGTTCCTTAAACTGCAATATCTCTTTCAGAATTTACATAACAATTAACAATCATTTTGACAACTTTAGAAAATATTTACCTCACATCCATTCCAAAAATCCTATTTGCCGGTTTTATGATTTCAACATAAGCATCCGTGTTGAATTTCACTATCTTCATTTCGTTCGACAATTTAAAATTATCTTAAAATAATTATGCACGATGAAAAAATGACCAAGGGTAACAATCATATTTACAAAAATAATTGTACAAAAAATATTTCTTTTTTATTCAATCGTTATACCTTTGAGCTTTGTTATATTGAGAATTAATCTCATCACTAACTTCCCGATGTCCTGTTGTGTCTTTAACGCATTCAAATCGCAGTATATCGTTGAACAGTTCACACCATTCGTCGAACAGTTCACGTATATGATATCGCGTTCTTGGATCGTTAGATTATCGTTTGAATCTTCGAACGTTGCCATTTTCAATTTGTACAATGTTTGTAAAATGCGAGCACCAACTGTTATATAATTGTCCACATTTCTTTTGAATATATCATGCGTCGAATTCTGCAATTCGTTATGGTCTAGATTATATAAATCAGATGTATCTGACGCTGTTTCTCCTGGAAGTTTCCGCCGTATATCCGTTAGAACCACTCCGTTTGATAAGCAGTCGTAATATTTACCAGATATATAAATCTGAAAAAATTATTAGATACCTCGCATTTAGGAAATTATCGAGAATTGTTATATTATACATATATATATACACATATGTAATGTTACTGTTTTTCAATTTCATTACTTAATAAAAATTAGATATTATGTGAACTTAATAATATCTTACCCGCGGCTTATACAAAAGTACAGGAGAATCTGAGTCGTCTATAATTGTTGGTAAATTGACAACAAGACGTGCCTCTTCTATAGGTGTCTCGCCGAATTTTAATATTTGATAAACATGTTGAAAAACTATATTTGATCGATCATTATCCAAATTAGATAGATAATAACTTTTTTCAATGGCTTTTCTGCAACACAGCACAATAACTATCATCATCGAAGCTTTATTATTCTTTCTTTTTCCTGAAGTATACGAACCCATTTAACAATAAAAATGCTTTACTTTGTAAAGTTAATAGTGATTTAATTTTATGCGTGCCGTTATTTGTACTGCGAGTTCGTATCTCTGCAAAGAACTCTAGAACTTGTCCATGCAAGGAACCATTGGTCAGATGTCTCATATCCAAATCGAGTTTCACAATTTTCTGTAAAAAATTTATTAAAAATTTTTCCAGAGAAAGATTTTAATTTTTTCTTAAAAAATTTCATTAAAATAATAAAAGAAAATTTAATTATTAATTAAATTTTATTAGATCGTATTGACTCAATAATGTTTAATAACATTTATAATCTAATTAAATCATTAAGTTATTGGTACGCTAAAATAACTAAACAAGCATTTTACCTGCTCATCTGTTCCAAATGGGTTACCGACGTTGCAAATAACTATCAGGATATCTTCGTCTGTGTTTTCGTCGCAAAATGATAAGATACTACGAAGTACTATTTCCTTCGGTAGGGTAAACACGATTGTCGTAAGATATGCCGGCTCGGCAGAATTCTTTATACATGTTTCTAAGGTGATGTCATTGGAACCGATTACCCAAGTATTATTCTCCCTATATTTTATTTTTATTAAAATAAAAATAAACAATTGCTATCAGAAATTCAATATTATATTCGACGTTAAGCGTCACTTGCCTGACCCCCCGAAGTTTTACTGTTGCATGTATGCTGGAATTGCAGACTCTATCCTCTCCGCATTCAATGTCGAAAGGAAGCAAAACTTGCACACCGTTCAATTTATTGTTTTTGCTTTCAACAGGGCATGTCTTACAAAATTCAAATGAATCATTATACGTAAAATCATGAGATGCATAAATAATAATCGGTTCAATAAAATCTTGAATATTATCCTGCAAAATATGTGACATATTGTTATGCATACATAACAATCAGTAGATTTTGTAAGTATAAATGTTTATTATATTTACCGAAAGAATAATGGTAGCATTTACACACGTATGATTGGAAGCAACCGTCGAGTATATTTCCAACGAAGCCTTTTTAGTACGTTTATATTTTTGGTCCACAATAAGAGAGACTTTGAAAGCTGCAATTTTTTTTACAAATTGACATTTATGTTTTTATATTACCTATGATGCTTCATATAACTTACCATGTATATTTGTAGCGTTGTAGTTATGATATTCAACACACGCTTCAACCAAAAAGTTACTTATGTTCCTTTGTAAAGTGCTTGGAATAGTGTATACAGTCAAATTTGTTTTTACAATAGGTTTACTCCGAAGTACTATAACATGTCCTGATTTATACGCGCCTACCGCGATATCTGCGTACCTATAAACGATAAAAACGTAGATACTAACTTTGGAAATAATTTAACGTAAAATAATCGTCATATTTTTTAATCAAAATGTTCATATATATTTTCAAGATAACAAACAAAATTTTTAACATTTATCCTTGTTTCTAAAAATTCTTAGTATATATTGCATTCATTTTTATTGCGCGATTACAATATTTCCTTTTTATCCGAGTTTTCAGTGTAATAAAAACAACATGATTAATAAGATATAGATAATATAGGTATCCAAATATTCGAATATTAGCATATGTAGTTATTATTATATTTACATTCCTTATAAATAGCTTATATGTTTATCTGGTTCAGAGCAACAGTTCAATATTAGAAAAAACTACTGTTTATCATCAATCGTTATTATATTAATTTTAAGAATGAATATAATTCAAGATTAACAATAATTCAATAAAATTGTTCTAGGCATAACCATAAAAAAAATTAACCAAATGCAAATAGTGAATTCTTTTTAATTATAACTATGAATGCAATTTATAACGAACGAATGATAAATTAAAGTTGCATAATAATTTTTACTTACCCATTATTATCAATATCAATTGGCTCAGATACCGAAAATCCAAACGTTTGTATATTCATTTTCGTGGAAGGATTATGACTAAAGGATCGCGTCGTGATCTTTTGTGACATGGTAGGTCTTATTCTATCTTTTAAACTCGCATCGCCGTTGTAAATATAAATTGCTCCAGATTCTTCCCAAGGAGCGCTCACTATAATATCTGAAATTCAATAAAAATAGTGCATTTATTTTTATAATGAGCTTTCTGATACTGAAGCGTTTTTTAATTAATTACAGCTTTGATTAAAATTACCACAAAAACCGTCTCTATCCACATCACCGATTGTTACTGCGTAGCCGAATTGTGCATCTTCTCTGGCACCTTTTAAAATCGTGGCTACTTCGAACTCTTTCTGTATCAAAATAAATAATAATTTAACAAAATATATTGTTTCCTTTTATAATTTCTGAGGTAATTCTACAACTCAAGCGACTTACTTAAAAATTAATAAAATTATACATATTAGGATGTATTAGAGAGTTTTAATTCATATACAATAATAAAAAATTTATTATACCTTTGAGCTACCTAGATATATGTGGATTCTGCCGTTATCATTCCCCCAATGCGGAGCTCCAACCACAAGATCGTGTAAACCGTCGTTGTTTAAGTCACCGCTGGCTAAACTGGCCCCGAAGAATTCGCCAATGTCACTGCCACGAAGATTCGTAACCAGCGGTACAAAATCTCCGTCCAAATCAACTATAACGACCTGTAGTATGATATCGTAGTTATTGTATGCTATGATGTTATTCCTCTTCTCGAAAGAGATGGAATGTTTTATCTGAATAAATAGATGTAAATGGAATGCTTTACCTGCCCTATGTAATTCCATCCTGGATCCGCACAAGCGTAAAGGGGTTGATTTTGGTGGAAGTAATATCCTGATGTTACTGCGTAGCCTATATTATGATAGCTAATCAAAATCTGTTTTTATATATGATTATGCCATAAAAATTTTATCTGTTACATAGAATTTGTACCAAATTTCGATAGATCATCGTATATCGGTATCTCATCTGTAGTTTTTCTATTAATCTCATAAATTAACTTGTACATTCGAAAACGTCCTATATTGGCACTACCTATGATGTTGTCATTTGGTCTTCCTACAATACGGCTTATTGTTCTATATTGTTTCTGTAAAGATCAAATTACTTAGTCAAGTCATAATAAAATAGCAATATTTGGCTAAATGATATTTGACTGAATGATATTAATATTATATTAGAAATAGTGAGTATTAACGGTTTATGATATATTAAATGAAACAATTAATTACGTACCTGTAAAGGTAGTGCAAAAGCAACGGAGAAACCATGGATTGGATCGTACCATGTACTTTTGCTGAAATCTAGTATTATCTGTGTGATCTTTAAATTTATTTTTAAACAAAAATATATTATAGATATATATCAAAATATAATATATAAGACATATATTAAAATAAAGATCGAGATTAAAAGAAATTAGGGTCCGATTAAGCTTACTTATATTTATAGTGATTAAGTAAAATTTTTAGCACAGAATTAAGATAGTGACAAAAAAATAATTACCAAAGGATGTAATTTCAGAATTTTCCGGTTTTAATGTTGCCGATGATATTTCACCACTATAACACATGCCTTGTAAAGTTTCCACGTAATTTGGACGTTTGAACTTATACATAATTCTAAGAGTAGTTCGCGGAGCACATACCTGCAATAAAATACTTAATAGTCAACTAAAATTTATTTAAGATTTATTTAATTTTAAAATAAGAATTATATATTTTTAAACAACAAAACATTTTTTAACAAATACTAGAAACTTTTTAAAAACATTTTTTGTTCGAAATATTTTGTTTATTAAGGGAGTGAACTTTTTCTTGAAAAAGCTTATTATAAATATAAATGCTTAAACCATATAATAACTCCTGATTAATTCCCCTCATATATTATGTATACCGTAAGGAAACCGCTGTATTTTTCTATCGACATCGCACCACCGAACCAGGAATGTTCCTTCTTTACATACACGTGCCTTTCGAGTTGGTTTACGTATAATTCTTCGTCTTTCATCAAAGTCGGTTTGATCTCTACACATGGACCCGGTAAATTGCAACGATAAACTACACCAGGTTCATTTAAAAGTCTAAAAGTCGATTGTTTCTGCGTATAATTTCCACGAGGTGCTCCTATGAACAACCTATTAAAAAAATGAACATACGTTTCAATATTATAAATAATAAATAATGTTTTATAAATGATAAATAACATTATATAACGCCGTAGTAAAATAACGATTATACATATGTTGTTCTACTTGTCTTATAAATGTGTTTCTGAAGAAAAAGTATTATATACACAAAACTAAAAAAAACAATATACAATGAAGTTACGTCAAAAAGCTAAAGAATCCATAATAAATATAAAAATACAAGAAAAAAGAAAGAAACGTAGAGATCGGATAGTAAAATATATTGTAACAGAAATAATTAAATTCTCGTCAGTCAATATTCGACAAATATATCTTTCTTGAAAACATGTTTTAAATACTTCTATATAAAATTATTTTTATTGTCCCATTTCATAATATATAATTCTTCAAATGTTACAAAAATATGTTAAAATATGAATCGATACATATTACCATGAAATATTTTTTTGTAAATCATGATGTAGTAACACTGAAAAGCCGAAATAACTGCGTTCGAATTTCGTATACAAATATTGATCTACATTATCTGCATTGTTCGGATAGAAAAGTGGATAATTTGTATCAATATTATACGCAGACACAATTAGTAGATTGAATAATAATGTAAATTTCATTGTCGTTGAGATATGAAACACTTCCTCACGAACTTTTATCACTATATATATAAAGAAATAAGTTTATTTTGTTAGAAATAAATTTCAATCAAATAATTAATTATGTATAAAACTGCGCACTATAAAAACAATATAAAATTATTTCTTGTACAATATAAAAAACTTAATATGTATATCCAACTCAGTATAAGAATTAATAAGAAATAGCATGATAAATCACTGACCAGTTTCGAAATAGTCAGAGAACAGGAAGGATGATGATAAGGTAATCGCGACAAATCACATTGTATATTCGTCATTCTAATATTTTATTCATTAATATAATTTTATAATATATTTATGCTATATATATATATATAGTATCATGTTTATTAAAAAATACTTAATTCCCAAACATGAATTTTAGTATTTAAAATAATCATGTCTTTTTACATTATTAGAACAAATTTTTGTTCATTATCAATGAATTTCATAAAATGAGATAACAAAATAATTTACATTATTTATATATGATCTTGTTAATGTATGAGACTTAAATTAACGTATATAATACACATATGGTATCTAAAATTCGCACATACGGAATGCAGTATGTGATATAACAACACTCTAACAACTATAAATAAACTTTATAGAAATCTTTAAAGTAATAACAAAACATATATTATATATAAAATATAGTCTATAGTTTTAGTAATTCTATTCTTCTATTGTGTAATAAAAGATATAGATATTTTCACAAAAAGAAGAAATCATATTTGATTACATAAAATATTCATTAAATTTACTACGTTACCTATATTACTATATATTATAAATTTTATATTATTATATATACATTACAAATTTAATATATCAATATTACATACACTTTTTATTATACGATGTTATTTTATTACATAAAAATATGTATTTTATATTTACAGTATAAAGATATTTTAATTAAACGCTTCAGGCACAGTGTGGCAGAGAGAATAATATTAGTTTTCTAGATTTCATCTGTAATTATTCCTCTTTGTTTAAAATAAAACTCATGTTCCTTTGGTGATCGTTTGTAAAATTTGTCTCTTGGATCTACTGCAGGTAGCAATGGACACTGCAAATTAAATTAGGAAGTTTTTATAATATTTATATATTAATATATACAATATATATGTGTGGGTGTATATTATATACATATTTCATTATATATATAAATAATTGTACGATAGCAGATAGTTTATGAAATAGAACAATAGAGTCAACAGTAACAATTACAAAAGATAAATGACAAACCCCGGAATCATTTCGCAATTCTAATGTTTTTGTCATGATTTGATTTAACTTCTTCTCTCTGTCGCCATGAGCAGGATGTGTTGATATCCACGGCAGTTCTGGAGGTAATGTATGCATTTCTGTAAGTGTTCTCATTGTAGCCCAAAATACAACAGCTTCACGAATATCAATACAAGCCTGTATATAGATAAATAATAGATATTAATGCGTACATATAGTTAACAGTTCATTTTATATGTATGAATGCATATAAACAGTAATAATGAAACGTAAAATATAATATTGGATTCTATTATGCCATTGTATAACACACTTTTGCAGCCAGTTTGAGTCCTACTTCATCAGCTTCATTCTCCAAAACTCTGCTGAATGGAAGATTGTACATGACATTCACAATTCGTTCCCCTATCATATGAATTATAGCAGCTGCCAGGTCAGGAAATAATGCCCAAACTAATAATATAGGTATTGCTATTAAAAAGTCCCACAACAGTTGATCCGATAGTGCCTCAAGCTGTTGATAAAAAAATTACCAATTACTTATTTTATGAATTGACATAAAAAATATTCGTGTTACTACTTACGGAATGTAACAGCAACGAATGAGCCATTTCATGGGTTAAAATAATACCCAATTGATCGTCATTTTCGATAATTTTTAAAATGTCTAATGATACAAAGATATTTCCACCCTATAACAAAAAAAAAATAAAGACAAAAAAGCAAAGTATAAAAACAGTTTATATGCTAATATATTACTGTATAATATTGATAATGTGCATACTGGCAAGATATACGAATTTGTTAATGGTGTATTAATAACAGTTAAAGTCCACTGTGTATCTCTCATCGATTTTAGATCTTTATTAGCTGCATAAATTTTTTCAATCACTCTTATGAGTCTTTTGTAAGCTGGATGAGAATGTGGTACCAAATCTCGTTTATGAACTTCTAAATGCTGAACAAAATATAAGATTATCTTATATAAAATGAACTGTTAAAGGATATTTCTTACAAATATATATCTATAAAGGTTTTATTATCTTTTTTCTATATTACAATATTTATGTATAAATAAATAATGGAGTTATAAATGTATTATTATGACTATATTATTTACTTACAGCTTCAAGAACCATCTTTCCTAGTTTCTTCTCTTGCTCCTGGTTAAAAATTATAAACCTCGAACGTTGTGTCAATGGATCAGTTTTAAGATGAGTTATGTAATAAATAGCCAATATCAGACCATACACTCCAAAACAACCTTGTAAAAAAAATAAATAAATATAGATTAAAGTATAGCATATTATTATAATTTAAAAATCTCTAAAGACCTTACCAAGAAATACATGGCTTCTTTCCCTAAACCACCGCTTATATTCCTCTTTCTCTTCCCCAGACTTGCGTGCCCACCACTTCTTCATACTACGCCCCATCAATAACGCACCAACACGTAAGACAGGACGCAAAAGCATAGCCACTAATGGTGGGACATGCAAATTTTGTGTAGTACGAAAGTCACATTTTTGCAGTTTTAAGTACTGTGACTTTTTATGGTCAACTTTATCTTGAAGGAGAAATCTCTTATATGTCCAGTTACGATGGCAAGTTCTTACAGAACAAATAAAAAATTGACTTGTACTCTGCTGAAGATTTTTCTTACATAAACTTCTTGATATGGCAAGCATACTGACAGAGAATAAAGCCTAAGAGGGACAATAATTATATCTACAATGGAAACAAAAATACAATCTATCACAAAATATGAAGCTGTAGTAGTAGTATAAATAACTATATAAGTATAAACAATTTACAAATACTATCAATAAAAAGTTAGTATTATAATTGCTCGTTATTCCATTTGTGTAATGTTTCAGTAAGGAATAGATAATTTTTTTTTAGAAAAATATTACTGTCAAATGCAATTATGTCAATCACTGTAAATTCTTACAAGCTATTAATAAAACTTACTTTTATTTTCCAATACCATCGATTTTTAATTTATTAATTTGCAGCTTTGTCTTATTTGACTATTACTGGATCAATTATTATATCGTTCTTGTTTTAGTCCAAGATAACTGACAAGGAATGAATCATTTTCTTTGTGAGAAAAATATTACTCAGGTGTCAAATTATAAAGTCTTACAAGCTATCAATAAAATTTGTTTCTTTTTTTTTCCAATATTATATATCAAATTGAATTTAATTCATAGCTTTGCCTTATTCGACTCACTGGATCAATACTGTCCTTATTTTAGTCCAGGATTTGTTTTAAGATTATAACTTGTCAGATATAACTGTCAGATATATACTTGTCAAAAGTTTCAAGATATGACGGAAGTGATGGAAAGCTGAAAATGGAAAAGATATTGATACCAAATTCATAAAAAGAATTTTATTCCTATATTACAGATTTTCAGACTAAAACATAAATATATGTACATGTTAGTAACCATACTATTTCACACATCTTAGTTACATAAATCATAGTCATACCTAAGATAATCTAATCCAAATGGAGTTCATGATTATTTAGTTATGTAAGGTGACAGCATAAATATTTAGTTTGATCGGCTCCACTTGAAATTTGATAGAAATATATTCAATATATACAATTGAAGCTTTTGCGTAAAAATTAAAGTTTGAAAAGTAAAGCTTGTCTTATGATAACATAAAAACATATATATGTCGTTAAAAGTGACAGTTGTGAAAGTTTAGGTTAGGGAATCTAACGAAATGCAGCGACATGAGCATGCGCCGTGATCAAAAAAAGTTTACGCAAAAATACAATACATCGATTGAATATATTTTTATCAAAATGTAAGTGGAACGGATCCCTAACATTTATCTTTCATAAAATTTATTTTCTCTTTCAGTAGTTATATATGTATATATAAATATATATATACACGTAATATGTGTATACGACTAGCTTCCACGTATCTTATTTGTCGGATCAACGTATGAAAATTTGATTTAAATCCCGACATTTCGGAATCTGCATTTTCAATTAATAACATATTACAGTTTATGAAAATAAAAAATAACTCGATTTTAATCATTCCTAGATTATAATTTAAATTTGCTTCAATATATATGTCTAAATTAAAAAGCCCATCGTATTCAGACGCTTTATAAATATAAATTTAAGTTGTCAACAAGTCAAGAATAGTTAAACGAAAAGTATATAAAATTATTGCGTGTGTAGCGCGAAAAATTATATTGGAGAATATATTAATAAAGATGAAGTTGTGATTTTCTCGAAAACATTAAAAATCTACTTTTATATATATACCCAATCAGCAAACAGTATTTAAAAAATATTTTTTAAATATTTATTTAATGTAAAATATTTGTAAAAATATTATATAAACATTAAAAAAATGTTTCTTAAATATGGTATGCTAATTGGGTATTTTATTATATTTTTATACTTAATTCCTTCCTCTTCCTAAAAAAAAATTTTTTTCCTTTGTTTTTTTACAAATGCCATTTCACGCGTAAAAAGATACAATATAGAACAATATATATTTGCAGTTAGATCGATCTTATATATTTGAGACGGAATTGCCTTAAATAAAACGTTAACTTATGAAATAAAAAGATTTGGAATCGCTATATTTACGTCGTGCGACCACGCGAATCTATATACATATGTACTTCGATCATTCATATTATAAGAATAAGACAATTTCAAAAATAAAATTAGAGGCTATCATTCGTAA